CCTGAGCCTCAGTTTCCTCATATGCAAAAAGGAAACATCCGAGGACGGTGGCTCCGCGGCTGCCTGGGCAGGCAGCTCAGATGCTGCGCTCCTCCCCAGGGCAGCGTGGTGCTCATGGAGAGGTGGCGGGAGCTCTGTGCCTGTTTTTATAAAACCCAGCCACACAGCCATGAGCCCCTACAGAATCACCATCCCTCCTGCTGCTGTCCGCTCCGTCCGTCCATCTTAGGAGAAATTCTCTCTCCGAGAACAAAGGTGCTGCCTGTGGTCCATGCTCCCCTCCCGCCAGGCGCCAGCTCTTGTTGCATCCTGGTCAGTGGCTGCTGGGTGGCAGAGAGGATTGACCMGCTCAGTCTGTGGCTGATTCCAGTCTGTTCACCACTGGGGCAAACAGTGCTGTAGAGCAGTTTGGGATTCTCCTGTYACCTGGAAAAAGTGGTCATGGCCCCGTCCTTCCAGGCGGGATTGGTCCAGGGAGGCGCAGCCAGGGCCTCATGCGCCCCATGGTCAGCAAAGTCGCTGCCGGAGCTCTGGGGCTGGCCAGCTTGCTCTGGACCGGGGGAATCCCTGGCRTCTGCACATTTAAAAACCTTCTTATACTCCACCCACGGGCGGGAGGTGCCRGGAACCAGGAGACACCTGAAGTAGTGAGGTCCCCAGTCCAAGGTGGGCTCGTRGGAGCCGCTCAGCAGACGCAGCTGCAAGTCACCCTGCTGTGTTTGCTTGGGAATAAATAGTCATAAATAATGCACGCAGTGACGGTGGCGTCACCTCATAGCAGCCCTCCACCAGGTGCTTGGAGCCCACATTTTGATGAACCCTGGGTGACTGTTCCATGCCTCTGTCAGCAGTCTTGACAGTRGCTGGTGGTGCTTTGTGATTGACCGTGGCGATAGGCGATGTTTGCAGAAAACACGCGTCAGAAATGCACAAATGTGGCCCATGCATGTGCTGCTCCTGAGTGGTCTTCCTCTGCAACCGAGTTAAAAGTGGCCATGGTGCTGGCACCGCCGGGAGGGGCTGGCAAGGGAGAGGCTGGCAATTTGGTTCCGTGATTAATGTCTTGGGAGCAAAGCGATGTGTGGTACCCAGCAGTGGCACTAGACCGACTCCTCCACTCCGCTGGCAACTCACCAGGAAAGCACGTGGCTGGGCCAGGCCTGCCCGGTCCCCCCCTCCCGGCCTGCCCCAGGCCTCTTACAGCCGCCATTCCTGCTCAATGAGCCKATCTGAGTTCTGCTCCCAGGACTCCCCTGCCATCAGGGACAGTCCCCGAATGCCAGCTTCCTCTGCTTCCTTCCTACACACGGTTTTCTTGGGCGGAAATAGATCCATCAGGGCTTTGACAGGCAGCAGGGAGTTTGCATGAGGCAAGAGGGTGACCAGGAAGTGTCTCTGGGTTGGTGGTGCCCACCGGGCACTCACAGACTGCTGCGAATGCCAAGGGAGCGCGGGGAGCCGCGTCTGCCGAGGGAAAGCAGCTGCATTAGGACGGTGGTGCGCCCCTGGGGGTCCCTCGGGGCAGCGATGGAGTAGGTGGAGAACTCAGTGAGCTCCTCCCGAGGCTCTCTGCAGACCCAGGATGCGCTGGCTTTGTTGCCACYCTTGGCCCGCCTGGCCACCCTGACCGTCTCCCCACTCCTCTTCCAGTTGAGTTCAGCAGCTGTCTCGGGAGCCAGGGGATGCAATATGAGACCAACAGCCTGGACTTCAAAGTCGGGGCAGACGGGACAGTCTACGCCACCCGGGAGCTGCGCATCCCCTCTGAGCAGGTGGCCTTCACAGTGACCGCAAGGGACCGCCGGACGGCTGAGCAATGGGACGCCGTGGTGCGGCTGCTGGTGGCCCAGACCCGGTCCTCGCACCCTGGACACAAGGTAAGGGGTGGCCACATGGTGGGAGGGCCCACACCCAGAGTCCAGGCTCCCCGCTGCCCTCATGGTCCTGGGCAGAGCCTCCGCCCAGGCCTYCCGAGGATGAGGCCCAGCAGCTCCATGGCTGTGCCAGCAGAGAAAGCCACACCTCACAAGGGACCCTGGCCTTTACGCTGTCTTGCGGCAGGGCTGCCAGCACAGGCGAGTCACCAGGTGGCTACCCAAGGAGCTTGGTTCACCAAACTGTGCCGCTGCTAGGTGCTCCTTGTGGGATCTGAAGGAGGCTCCCGTGTCCACCTCCACATGGACGCCCCACATTCTGTGGCCTGCCTGCCTGGGCGCTGCGCCCACCAGCCCCAGTCAGGGCAGAGACCGCATGACCGGCAGGGGGACTGTGGAAGCCGGTGCAAGGCCCACCAGGGGATGGAGGCAGGAAGAGGGGGAGAGGAAGGGAGCGAGCCCGCCATGACCGGGTGCCTCGTGGGCCCGAGGGCAGGACGCTCTGCAAGGCTGCTCACTCTGGTCTGGCCGAGGAACCCAGCCCATGGAACAGCTAGCCAGGCAGGTGTGCCAAGGAACCCACTTTGGGAATCTTGAATTCAAGGGGAGGTGTCAGTCAGGAAGATAAAGCAGGGACTCCAGGGGCAGCTGTGCACATCCAGGGAGCTGATCCCACTGGGAAAGGAGTGTCCTGGCCGTGGGGGACCAGACTGGAGAGAGCCTCTGCCCATTGGGCCCATAGGTGCTGAGGGCTCTCCGACAGAGCAGGGGACTGTGGAAGCTGGTGCAGGGCCCAACAGGGGATGGAGGCAGGAAGAGGGGGAGAGGAAGGGAGCGAGCCCGCCACCGTCTCCTGGGTGACTTCACCAGCCATGCAGCGGGGGCCCTCCCAACGGGCCTTTCCTCCAGTGGYGGGTGGCTTCATGAGCTAGGCCACCCTGAGCCCACCTGGTGCAGGCGCCTGGCGACCGTGAGCAGCAGGCAGAGCCTTGTGGCGTGGAGCCTCAGAAGCCACTAACTGGAAGTGCAGCCAGGGCTCTTGTGACGGGACGAATCCCTGATGCTCCGCGGAGGGTGCGGGCTCTGGTGGCAACTGAGGTGGGCAGCCTCCGAGTGGGCGCACTTCCAACCCACAGCCAGCTGGCCTGGGAACCGCCAGCCCCTGGGGCAGGGGACGCAGAGCTCACCTCCAGGATCCGAGCAGGGAGCCCTCCCCCTGGGCCCCTGACGTGTGACCCTGGGGGGGCAGTCTCTGCAGCCCCCCTCCTGCCCCTGGTCTTGGTCTCCTTAGTGGCTGGTGGCTTCCTCCCCGACTTTCCCGGGGCCCCACTTACACCTCCTCAGGGCCTCAGCTCCACTAACCCTAACCGTGTCCCTGGGGGCAGGGGTTGCTGACCCACGTCTCCCCAGGCCCTGGTGGCAGGAGAGAACTGACCTTCTGGGAAGGAGTGAAAGCTCCGTGCAGGGTGGCTGAGCCCAGCACACAAGGGCCCCAGCAGCCCAGGCGCAGAGTCCCGTCGAGCTCCTCTGGCAGGCAGCTGGMCGTGGGGGCTGCCTGGAACGTGGGTGGCAATGCTGCCCGTCTGTGCAGAGTTGTTGAGGGACGCCGTGGCGTTCAGTGAGGTAAGAAGACCAGCAGGAGTGCCACCAACACTGTCCCAGCCCTCGCAGCCCTGTGCTCATCGCGGCCACTAGCCCGCCAGGGCAGTGCTGGGGACAGGGAGCCAGGGGCTGTTTGGAACCTAGAAGGCCAACTGTGGGACCCCAGGTTACTGTGTGGATACACCCTTAAAGGCATCGATGCCAACCTTCAAACGTCTACTCTGTAAATGGGTGGAGGGGACACCAGGTTCCCAGAGTCCACCTGCCCACCAGCGTGAATGCAAGCGGGACAGCACCCAGGCCTCCAGCCCCACCCACAGTCCTGTGTACAGCGTCCAGCACTCAGCTGAAAATTCGTGGGCGCATGAGGTGTCCGAGGCCCCAGGTGGTGTTGCTGAGGCGGAAGACAAGTAGGGTGCCGTGGAGACACAGGAGGGCCAGGCACTGCGAGCCGCTGAACAGAGGGAAGGCAGGCCAGCCGGGCAGTGTGGCCTCTGCTGGGTGTGAGCGGGTGCTCCAGTGCCCCACGGAACCGTGTGAACTCCAGAGATGGCATCTGACAGTATTATGTGAAATCAGTGCAAACCTATTCTAAACTATTAGAGAATGCACGTGGCATGGATCCTAGCCTACAGTCACACGCTTACCAAAGCTTGCAGAAGAGAATCTTCACTGTTTTATTATTATAAACACACAAAAATCCCTATCAGAGAAAAACATCTCCTAGGCTGCCCTGCTGAGCTCTCCCCAGGCTTTCAGAAGTAAAAATTAACCCTGCACAAATTTGTTCAGAGAGTTCAAAAAGAGTCACTTCCCCAAAGTTTTGTTGTYCCAAACCGTGATAGGGACCATGTCTCAAATTGGGAAAAGATTTGCCCCAAATGAGCAAGAATGACCTCCAAAATCCAACATGACTGYGTCTAAAGCCAGCTGGAGGCCCGTCCATGCTGACAAAAACCAAGTCCAAAACTAGCAAAAACTGTCCAAAAACAACAAGAACCTTTAGAAAAAGTGACAGACGATGATGGGCCAGTCTGGCCTGTTAATGAATACAAATCCCTGAGCAAATTACTAACAAACTTGGATTTAGCTGTTTTCATAGATTGATGAATCATGACCCAACTGGATTTGCCCAAGAATGGAAGATGGAGTTAATCACTGTAATTCAATGTAGAATAAAGGATAAAAATTGTGTGGTCCTCTGAATAACAGTTATTAAAATTTCATCTCGATTAAAATAACAATATTCAGCTTTTTAGGAAAACAAAGGGAGCCTTGCATTGTGTCACAAAGTACATCAACAGAAAACCTGCAGTGGCCATCTGATCTGCTTTTGAAACATTCAGAGTCTTCCCTGAGGACCAGCAAGCTGACCAGACAGACCATCCAGTCACACACCAGAGGCCCGAGCCAAGCAGTAAAACAAGAAAAAGAAATCGGGATAAATGAGACTAACAGTACCCAGTGCCAAGAGTCTGCAGTCRTGGGTCAGTTACTGGGATCCATGAGTGAAGTCAGAAGTCGCTGGACGTGAACCTGTTGTCTTTCTGTCCATCAAGGAAATCCAAACCATATCCCTGATGTAGGAGCAGTAAAAAAAGATCATGTAACGGGAGGGAATCTGCCTAAAGGTGTGCAGGACCCTCCACATGGTGGGGGCAAGTTCAAAGGCCTTAGAAACGGAGGAGCACACCAAGCCCCGACTCTGAAGGCCAGGAAGACGGTCATAAAACTGTTAAAAGTAGGAGGTTCTGCTCATCGGCACTCGTATCTAAGAGAGTGCGGGGAGCAGGAGAGGAGGACGCTGGCCACATGAGCTGCCCTGCAAGGACTCCCTCTGCATGACTGGAGAACCTCAAGCCACCTGCAGAAACAGGCAAGAGACCAGTACGGTTCACAAGGAGAACAGAGCCTTGTGGAGGGCAGACACAGGCACGCAGGGACCTTCTGCCAAGGCTCAGAGAGGGCGCAGCGTGTGCAAACCCCACTCAGCAGCGGGTGCTCCCACCTCGGGTGACCACAGGCGTGTGGTGTCAGCTGTGTGCCCATGGATGTGAGCACTGCCACCTGGGCCCCCTCCCCAAGTGCTGAGAGCAGTGCTTCTCATGGTGGCCCCAACCAGAAACTCCCAGGTGCCACAGTCAGSGCTGCATTAACTGGTGGCTCCATGCAGAGGGACAGTGTGGCTCCATGCAGAGGGATAGTGTGGCAGCCCAGCTGGAAGCCGCCAGATGAGGGCTCCTGTGCTCAGCTGAGAAGGGCAAGCAGGCTCCAGGGCGAAGGCGAGCTGTACCCTCACATCCAGGGAGGGAGCCACACAGACCTGTAGGAGGCATGCAGTGGGCAGCAGGGGCGCCAGGGCCTCCCGGGCGGGGAAAGTCGCTAACCTGCAGCCACGTGGCATTTTTATGCACAGGGTTGAAGCAGAGGGCTTCCAGGCTCCAGAAGATGGGTTCAGATGGGGATGCCCAGTAAGTAGGAGCTCCGTGGCAGAAGGTTCTAGAGCAGCAAAGCAGGGCCTAGAGGTGYTCAAGTCCCAGGGCTGCTTTTACTGCAAGAACCACTGAAGCAAATCCCTGAAGGACCATCACCGGTCCCCTCATTTCCCAGCTCTGTGCCCTTCCTGCCTCCTGTCAAGGCTCCTGCAGGGCAGCCTCCACTCCGTWACTGTAGGACTCTCCGTGGAGCTGGGTAAAGCTGATGGCTCTCCAGCCAGACGGTCCATGGAAGGGTGGCCCCCTCCCTCCCTTCCCCTCCTGGCAGCCCTGGAAGGCAGCCTTTCTGTGGTGACACTGCAGGGCTAGAATCCGGAAGAAGTTTTTTGTGCAGTCTTGCAGGAAAGCTGATAGCAATTCAATTAGAAAATGCAAATGAGGTCACACATTTCCCACAGGAGCGCAGAGTTGCCCTGAGGAACTCTCAGGGCACTCGGCCTCACAGTAAATACTGAAGATGGAACTCCCCTGGCCACTGTCGTGGCCCGGCTGGTGTCGCGCTGCAGCTGGCAATGGGACCTGTGGGTACAGTTTGCAACAAAGAAACTGTTATTTATGAAACTAATATCGGGCTTCCCTGCGAGTCAGCACTTAGGAAGCATCGGGTGGCCAGGCGGGTGCTGGCCTGGGTTCTGCTCAGAGCTCCCACCTCCCCACGTGTGTGTGCTGTCCCCCAAAGGGCAGATGCTGAAGTCCTCACATCCAGGACCTCGTGTGACCATCTGGGAACAGTCCTGTGGGTGCACTTAGTTAAAGGAAGCCATGAGGGCAGGCTGATCCAATGGGGTGGGACTCCTTCTGCAACGGGGACACTGGGCACAGACGTGAGCACACGGAGAACCTCGCATGAAGGTCAAGGCAGAGGGCGGGGTGATCTGCACACTCGAGGATGCCAGCGAGGACCCYAGCAGCC